CACGATAACGCATTTATCGCAAATATAGGGAAAGTGAAAAGTGAAGTGGAAACCATCTGCATATGTCTGATATGGACAGCTATGCTAAATGGAGCGACACATTGGGCGGGCATATGGGCGTGCAGCATTAATATGCCAATTGCAATGGATGACGGTGGCTGGCAGCGAGCTTTCTTTGAACAGCGAACCCTGCAAGCCGAACCTGCGGAACGATTGTCACCCAGTGGGAAAACTTAGTGTCTTTAAAGCCAAGGATTTCACACTAGCTACGGGGACAGATTGATATATATGCAATGGGGCACAGGCAAGGTATAATGCATAGGCCACATCATCCCCGTAGCAAGAAGTCTCAAAATTCCCACATAGAACTATCCCTTCATCGAGTGCCAATCTGCAAGACTTTCAAAATAATCATTTTGTAGAGCGGGGTTAACATGCTTTGCACAAGTCGTTTTCTGTCTCATGTCTAGACTTAACTCTGCCTTCTCTGAACTCTCCATCCATCGAATCTAATAACTAATAACTAAGAGCCTAATATAGAGCCTAAAAGTTATTTCTTCTTCGGTCAGTGATTTTACATCCCAAACTCTTTAACCCTTATTCCTTTCTACTTAACAATAAGTTTATTACTTTATCCGTTTCTCTCGCCTCATCTCTGTCTTTCCTCTCTCTCTCTCTCTCTATTCTATTTTTTACTTTCATCTTATTTATGTATGTTTTTTCTCCATTGACGCACTTCTTCCCGACGGGAAATAGGGATTTTGTTATTCTATTAGATTATATTATTTTATTTTAAAATAAATGTTTAAATTGTGGTCAGCGAAGTTGCCTCAAAATCTTAAATATTAGTGGCATTTACAAACGTCTCAGTTTTAGTGTCAAATTAGATTTCTCCTCGTTTGTCTGATTGAAGATAGCCTCCTGTCAGTTAACTGTGGACAATGGCGGTCAAAAAAATAAAAACAATGAAAAAAAAGCTTGTACCGAAGACGCCGCTAAACATGCCAAATGACTGACAGAAGTGCCGTTAGTCAGGATCGCAGATAAGCGACCGCAACAACAACAAACGCTACAACAATAGCAACAACAATAGCAACAGCAACAATCGATGCGCACCCCAGCTAAAACGAGACAAAATTAACATAATTTACAACTTCCCTCCCCTGCTTGAGCAGCCATTTTTTTACTTTCCATTTCGTTTAACGGTAAACCAAACGTAGCGAAATTCGCCAATGCATCCAATTGCAGGCAAGTCATGACATGGACATGGGCATGCATTTCGATTTGGTCACTTGGAACTTGAAACCGGTTCAATGCACCCCCCTTCCCCGTCCACTCCATTCTGTTGCTGCCATCCTTTCAGCTGCTGCCATGCTGCAAAGCTAATGAAAGTAAAAACTCAAGGGCTTGCACTTTCTGCCCACAGCTGACAGCCGGCTGTCTGTCAGTGAAAGAGCCGAAAGCCCAACTGCAAAAGAGACCAGAGGCATCAAAGAAAGAAAGAAAGATAGGAGAAGAAGCGAAAGAAAAAAAGAAAAAAAACAAGGCAACAGAGCTGGCATATCCTCGACGTGGCCTCGCAACGCATCGTTAGCTGCCGACTGCGACTTGGACTTTGGCTTCGACAGCGCGCGGCTGCAACTGGGGGCCGGTTGCATTTTGCTCTGAAATAATTAGTGACCCAATTTCGTGCTGCCGACGCCGACGCTGACGCTGACGCCAGCGTGTTCCGCTTGCCTGGCCCCCCGACTGCCAGCCACGGCGGCCACAAAACGCATGCAATTTGCTTGGCTTGACTTGGGTTGCAGTTGCAGTTGCTGTTGTTGTTGTTGTTGCTGGTGTTGGCGTATTTTGTGGCATGCATGCAAAGAAAGTGGTTTTCATTTCTTTACAATTGCTGTCAGCAGGCTGCCTCACTTGCCACAGTTGCACACACCAAATGCCGCAGCCACGAGTACTCTCATAAGTAGCACTCATACAATTCATACAGACTCTCCCTGGGCTTGATACGTCGCAATCAAAGCTGGCCCATTGATTTGCATGATTTACAAAAAATTTCCTTTAAAATCGAAAATTGATTGTGCATAATCCAATGCCGCGGAGGGCGCTACAGCGCAGGGCGTGGCAGCAAATGAGTTTCTGTGGTGTTAAAGATTTGATTGAATGTTTCGGCATGAATTCGACTTGATTATAAATCATGACTGCAAATCCAACAATCGTTTTCTGCACTTCATTTTCACGGCTTGTCGAATTCGTGAACCTCGGCTTGGTTTGAAACCTGGCTAAGAGTTAGCCCAAAAAGTGATTATGTTCTGCTTAAGAATTGGCCATTGCTTGTCCATGGAACTCCTAATTAAACTGACCCGGCTTAAAACCCGTTTTACAGCCTTGCTTTGAATGCATCTGATATACTGACAATTTGACTTCTAGTTAACGCTATAACAAATTTGCTGCTTCTATTATATTTATAATAATATTCCTTCATAAAAGCCAACTACATAATAGCTGCCTTGCTTCTAGCGCAACTAGAGAGAGGAGAAAATCTGCTTTAGCTCGCATACTTAACAAAATAGCTGCGTAATTGTTGTTATTGGTCCGGGCATGCCTTGGCATTCTAAACATTTGCTTTTAACGTCAACGGGCTCTACAAAGCCGAAGATGTTGCGACGGCAACAACAGCAGCAGCAGCAGCAACAGTTGCCAAAGTCTTGAGCAATGAAAGTTTTTGTTGTTCACGCTGAGTTGGAAAAACTGCGTGAAAATTGTACAGGCGGCAAAGACAATTGCCGTTAATTTAAAATTGTCGCCAAGGCAAGCAGCAACAGCAGCAACAGCAGCAGCAGACGCAGCAACAACAGGCAGCCAGTAAACCAGTAATTATATCGCTGCAAGTGGCGCAGCTTCTTTCACCTGCGTGTGTATGCAACTATGTGTATTTGTGTGTGTGTGTGTGTCTATGGAATCAATTAAAAGTATTGCCAGTGCTATGTTTGGGCAAATGACAAGTGCCAGCAGCAGCAGCAACAGCGACGGCAGCAGCACGTTTGGCTGACGGGCCACGCTGCGTATGCGCAACCCACTTGGCTGGCAGCAAGTGCAAGCACAATGCACGCGTGCTGGCTAGCCAGATACAGATACAGCTACGAAAGTATCTACGAATTGCCAACGTAGGCCTGTGTGTGTGTGTGTGTATTTATGTGCGCGCAGCGAAATTGTTTTCATGTGCGCCAAAGTGGAGCAGTTTTTGAACAAAGCAATTCGCAAGATTAATCAAACACACATGGAAAACTACAGTGTTATAGAAGCTGTATCTGTATCTGTACTTGTATCTGTTGCTTGGCGCATAAACCACCATCACAACTAGCGTCAGCAGCAGCAGCCGTGGCAGCAACTGCAGCAGCAGCGGCAAATGAGAAGCGGCACAAGTCAATTTCAGACTTTCATTCGCGCGAAACGCGATGAAATTTCACCAAACAGCGGCGAGAACTCTTGCGCCGGCAACTGCAGCCAGTTCCAGTTCCAGTTCCAGTACCAATACCAGCTCCACGGCAAGTGGCAAGTGGCACTGTGGCTCTGGATCTGGCTGTGGCTCTGACGCTGACTGCGTCTGCGTCTGCGTCTGCGGGTGGCTGCCAAATTGGTTAGATTTATGCAAATTAAACTAATGAACAAAAAGTCTCAAATGCCGCTGCTTCACGCCTCAGCGGCCACAGCTTTTAACTAAAACCAGGTGTGTGTGTGTGTGTGTGCGTGTGTGCGTGTGTGTGAGTGTAGCAAGTACTGCTCTTTTGTTATTAATAATTTCCGCATACTGCACGCCAAGGCAAACGGCGCATTCGACGAAAGTTTAGCGTCTGCTTTCTTTTGCTCTTTCAATCATAGGCAAATCTACACACACACACAGGCACACACACACTCATCTATATATAATGGATGTAGATGCCACAATTTAGTCTTAGCAGCGATATAAACCGAAAACACTTTGATTTTCTTTCCCAAATGTTGCAACGCTTTTGTGCGCAATTGGAGCTACAGTTGCTTATAATTCTTATTATTATTATGATTATTATTATAATCATTATTTTTACAATCAGCCTGACTATAAACTTGCGTTAGTTGGCTTACATAGAACTGAATGTGTAGCTTGAGGCGTCTATCGAACGCGTCTGTAAATATGCAGCAACTATTTTAATTGCTTTAGCAATTATTGATAGTTGACTTAAGCAGATCTTTTAATTGTGCTGACTAATTTTAAATTGGCTTATGTCTTTTCTTAACATTTTTCTTTATATTTAAAATAATTCATAATTACTTTTCTGACTGGGTTACTTCAAAAAATCGCCAGCAGCTAAGTTTAAGTTGAACTATTTATGCTGTTAAAGCTGCAGCTAATTGTGTTGAACCACTCAGGCCAGAGTTATATATCATCTTGTTAGCTTAATGAAAGTAAATCGAATTATATAATAAATATTATTTAGCTGTCTCGAAGCAGCATAATATACAACAATTCTGGCTTGAGCCTAAAATTTATTAACTATTCCTTGGCCAGAAGGTTTACGGTTCGAACAATCTTCCTGCCTTTAGGTGCGCTTCGTAAAACTTCTTTGCCGCATCCTTGAAAGCAGTTTATGGTTTAAGCCTTGGTTTTTGATTTGCATTCCAAATATCTTTTCTTTTTTTATTAAAGATTGCCCGTTGTACTGAAAATTTTGCCAGACGTACAGGGATTCACATACAAGATGTGGGCTTAATTAGCTCCCTATCCAAAATTAATCCTTGAAATGTTCCCTGACAAATCCAATAAATAGGTTTAACTTGAACTTTAAACTTTTTGGTTTTATTTAATGTTCGGCTTACGTTTAAAAATATTGGAGTTCCCAGCTCGAAACGGTTCATTACAAAACCGGTTTAAGCGCTTTTCATGCAACAAGTTTTGTTTATAGTATTAATTAAAGCTTCATCAGATCATTTCAACAAATATTTTATTTTGCGAGCCTTACCTTTAGTCAGTGTTAATCCCTAGCGTTTTTGTAATCCTTTTGAGAAAGAATGGCACAGTGGCTGCCTTTGAGCGTAGATCACGGGGCTTTTGGCTTTAACGGCTCGGTTGGGGCCTTGAATATTGCAAGTTGTTTCTGTTCGGATTTCGCACAAAATATATCAGGAGCAAAGCGCGTTGCTCGTGTGTTTTTGTTATTGTTATGTTTTTCTTTGTTTTATTTGCTTTTTGGGCACACTTTGTAATTTTCGCACTCAGACTCGGTCACACGGTTGGTTGGAAGGGCGCGCGGCTCGAACGCGTAGTTTGGTTCAGTGTTCAGGACGAGTCGTTCGCTCTCGAAATCGATTTCTCGGACTCGGAATCGATAGACAGACTGCAGCAGCGTCGCACCAGCCAGACACTGACTCGTCGCACACAAGAGTTGAAATGAAAATGCGGCCCGGCCGTATCGGTAACCAAGATTTTATATCGCGTGAAAGTTTTGACCCCTTTCTGTGTGTTGCCGCTCCGCTCGAGCGCTGTCGAGAGAGAGAGAGAGACAATCAGAGACAGCGAGAGAGAGAGAGGCACTGTGAATACTGAGAGCAAGCGTTGTTAAATGCAAAACTTGCCGTTTTCGGCTATTCTTTTTGGCACCAGCGCCCCGACGAAAACCGAAACTGAGACCAAGACTGAGACCGAGTCCCAGTCCGAGCCCGAACCCGTTGTGGCAACTTTTCATTTCAGCCCGCTTTCTGCGGGCTTTTGTTTTTGGCAACTCGTCGTCGCCGTCGTCGTCGTCGTCGTGTCAAGGTAACTGATGACGTCGAGTGCGTCGCCGCGATTGCCTAATTCCCATTGTTATTCACAAAGGGATGCGGCTGATTCAGCGCCTAACGGAGCTCGCTAAGCCCCATGCTTATTATTCTGGCCAATGCATTGGAAAATTAAATTATGGGCCGCGTTATGCAATCGTTAATGCCATAATGCGTTTAAATATTTACAATAACTTAACTGTTTGTTGCGCGCCCCAACTCGACTTTTTTTTTAATCATTATGACCTTTGTTGCGCGTCTAGCGGAAATAAATTAATATCTTAATTTTTGTGTGTTTCGAGTGCATTGTCTCACCCAAAAGAAAGGCAGAAATGTACCAAAACAAATTAGCAACGAAAAACAAGTTCGTTGTCTCAGTCTTTTGTTTAGCGCTGTAAGAAATGTTTTCATTAAAAAAATTTTATTTTAATTGTATTATTATAGTAAAATAAAGCGGTAAAAAACAAGGATTGGAGCAATTTCAAAATATATCAAAACAAATTAGCAACTAAAAAAGTTCGTTGTCTCAGTCTTGTGTTAAACGCTGAATGAAATGTTTTGATTATAACATTTTGTGGTAACTATATTATTATAGTAAAATAAAGCGTTCAAAATATGCACAAATTGAAAGAAGTTCAATTTGTAAAAGAGACTGAAAGTTAATTGTGAAACTCTAAGCGTGATTTATTGATCTTGAATGCTATATTTTAGGAAAATAGCTGTAAAAATAATCAACCCACGCATAAATTAACTCAATTGGCTAAACAACTCTGTGCCCATTTTTTGCACAAACTGAAGATGTGCCAGCAACTCGTTAAGTACTCGCATATTTCGACAAACAGCGCAATTTTCGATGATGAAATGGCGCTAAAATGGCGAAAGAGTGAAATGAGAATGCGCCACAAATTTGCCAAAATGCGAACACGAAATATGTTTATATATATATATAAGTATGAAAATGACCAAAAAATAAAAAAGCCAATCACGAGCATTTTAAAAATAGCTTTGTCCATTCGACACAGCAGCCCGAGTTGCGTTCCATGAACTTTCATTTATGCGTGCGCTCGCGGATTTGCCACTCGCTGGCAAATTCATGCGCCTTGGCTGCCCAAGCGATGACAGCATGAGCGAAGCCCAAAGAAGACCATGGGACACACCCGACTAATCGAAAGAAATCGAAAGTTCCGGCTCTGCCAGCGACCAGGTTTCGATTTCATTCAAAGGCAATGGGCACATGGATTGCTATTATTACAGTTGTTGTTGTCGCACGCCGGATCCGGTGTGAATCATATGCCGTGGCTTTGATGACGCTCGTCCCGCCAGCATTTTGTTGTGCTAGTCTCAATTTTGGGTTTATCATCAGTTACGCTGACGACCAATTCAAGACGGAATTGAAGTCGAAATTGGGTCAGGGACGTGCTCGGCATGCTAATCAAATTATGTTTACACTTTTTATATGACGCACTAAACCAAGTTTCAAATTGGGAAATGTGGCATGTTGATGCGGGCATTTTCTAGAGAGAACTCGCGAAGGTTAGCCCTCACACAAATTGTTTAACTATGATCAACTAAAGTGTTGCAATGGAAACGTTAACCAAACTGTAAAGGAAGTAAAAAACAAGAGGGCTTTAGGCAGAGGTATTTGACTAGGGAGTACTCTGAACATCAAATGCAGCTCGAGCTAGAGAGGGAGGGGGTTGGGAGTAGCTATGAAATGAAAGATACTTAATCTGTACAAACTATTCAAGAAGATATATGTGAAGTTTGGTGACTCTAGCCATGAAAACCAATGAGATTTTCACTAATAACAGGATTTCGATATCGATTTTTATCGATTGTCTGGAAACGAAGCAATATATCTCTTATCGGAAACAAACTCGTACTGCGAGGCCACTAGGAGGACCTATGTTTAAATCGTTGGCTCGAGGTCTAGCTTCTGATATTGACGCGTTCAGACGTACAAACATTTGGAGAGAGCCATAGTTCACTTCGAAAACTTGGATCATTGAAGTGGCTGCAAATAAGGAGTTGCGAATCGGTTAAGCATTTCTTTCTTGTTTTATTGAGACTTGCAGCCAGTTGAGAAAGTACGTTTTGCTACGATATCGAGATTTATATTTATAGTTTTCGATCTTGATCGAACTATTCATAATCGCTGAGATATCGTCTGCACTCGCATGTCTGCAAATGCTTTGATAAATGAGCAACAAATGCGAGCGCATTTTTCACACATTATTTTCTTTTGGAAATGGAGGGGAAAATCGCTGGCAAACTAAAACAAAGACAAAAACAACAACAGCATATTGATATCTCTCGGACACTCCAGATTCATTCAGCTTCAGTTTCAGTTTTATTTCGAACAACAACAAAACCAGTTATATGACAACGTTTTGCACAATTTGCTGGCCCCTTCTGCAGTTACGACTGTAACGGTGCCTGGCTAAAGCTCTTATTGTTTTTTAACAAAAAAAAAAAACGTAATAATGTGCTCCGCGCAAGTGTTGTCGATGCCAATCATTATGCAAGTCGGCTCTCAACTCCGGTCAACCTCGGTCAATGGAATCGCAGGGCGCGCGCTCCCAACTCGCCGACTTCACTTTCCATTTCTTTTGTCAGCCTCTCTGGGGCACTCTTTTTTATCATTTTTTCTTATTTTATTTTCATTTTGCTGTTGCTTTTCTGTCAACGGCCCTTAATTGCATACCCTAGACGAGTGTAAGTCTGATTATGCATATAGACAATGAACCTGGCCACATGGAGTTGCAGCTGAGTGCAAAGCTATTTGGCTAAGACGGGTTAAGGCCTGCTTTATAAGTGAAGATAATTATGGCATCTATAGATTCAGTAGTGCATATAAATAAAGAGTTATGCTTCAATTATTGACTACTGAGTTGCATTAGAGTATATAAAGGTAAGTTCTTCTACCTATCCAATTGATAAGAAGAACTCTCAGATCTGATTAATAGATCATTTTTATTGCATGGAAATAAAGCAAATCTGCCTTGTCTTAGAATTATATTTATATTTTGTAAAATAACTGTTAAGCTGCTGATAGGCTACTTTTGTATATTAAGAGACACATTTTTTGCCATGTTCAAATATCAAAATCAATCAATCCAGCAATGTCAAGAATTTTACCTTAAGACTATACTTTATACTTTATACTTTATTTAGGAGAAAAACAAATAAGAAGCTTGACTGAAATTTAAAATAAATTTTATGGAGTTCAGTTCAACCTAAGATGTCCTCTATAGAGCTTAGTTCATTCCATGCTGCTTATAGAGTTTACTTCATCCGATGCTGTCCCTTATAGAGTTTACTTTATCCCATGCTGTCGCTTACAGAAGTAAGTTCCATGTCACGCTGTTTTTTTTTTTTGACTATTATAATTTCCTTTTTCTTTTTTTTTTCTCAATGTACTCAGTTGATATAATCGATTTCTTGCTTGTGAGCTTTTGTTTATTTGGCTGCTGTGCCCTTTTGCTGTTTTTGTCTAGTGCTGCATAAAAATGCGGCTTAATTATTATTTTATGCATATGAAGGGGTGTGTGTTTAAGTTGTGTGTACCTGTGTGTGTGTGTGTGTGGCCGCTACCTGTGCCTGAGTCATGCGCCATATATCACTTTCACTCGCCAAAACGACAACGGCAACGGGCAAAAATCTCAATCAGCCAGACAACCGAAACCAGACGGCATTGGGCGTGTCTCTGGCCAAGGAACAACAGCAACAACAACAACCACAGCGTGGCAGGAACTCACGGTGTGTTGGCCATTTGCATTTAATTGTGAAAAATACACGACTGCCCACTTAAATTCACTTTAAACAGCAGTTGCAGCTCGTGTTGCAAGCCCGACTCTATAGAGCATATATCCTGGATCAAGACGAAGATCTGAGCCGATGTAGTCTGTCTATCTGTCTGCCTATCTGTCTGTGTGATCGTCTCCATTTCGGAATCTTGGAGGGGAGGAAGAAACCTAGTTGCACAAAGTACTCAGCCTTTGGTTGGAGCTGCTGAAAGCTAAGCTCATATTTGGCTAAAGGTTGCGCAAGCTCTTAACTGTTTTGGCCAAAATAAAGGCAACACAATAGTTTTCTAAACAAAATCTTAAAGAAATGGGCATACATCACGCTTTGTTTGTTTTTTCATTGAATTCCGATGCCGAATTTCCAATGCGCAAGACAAATGGCCAAAAGCGAATCGAGTATCGAGTATTTATCTAACTCATTTTGAAAGACATTTGAAATGTTAGCATTGTGTGTATCTTGCGGTTTAGTCACAAGATTTTCACTTTCATTCGCTGACAAAATAACCAAAGATACTATTTACAGATGCCATGATGATGCGCGCATGTGTGTGTGCGTGTGTGTGTGTGTGTGTTCCATGCGTATGCAAATTAGCTCAAAAACGCCAAAGACGGGGACAGCAAGGCACAGATATAAATATATATATATATATATACATATATACCGTAAGTGGCCAAAAGCAAAGTCTCTGCTACAGATATGAAAAGAGATGCGGCCAATACGAGGAGCACTTCCAGCTAACAGCCAACTACCAGCATACGCAGCCGGAAAGCAGTTAACAGTTTTTTATGTATTTTGTTTTTTTGGCAAATGAAAGAGA